TTCTGACAATCTATCCTTGACAAGGACCATTCCATCCCTGACTGTCTGCAAAAAAGGTTGTATAGTATGCATAAAGCAAATGTACTTTCACAGGGCCTGGCTTTCCAAAGACTTGCAGTTTCAAATTTTGACCTCACAAAAAACAGGAAATTTTCCCCAGGCCATTTAGTCTCTGTTGTAAGATAAAGAGTTGTAACATAGCAAGGCTGCTGGTTCAAAGACAGACAAGTTACTGATTGATATGTAAAGTTACTGGGAAGCTGCTGGAGGAAGAAGGAATGTTTGCTAGATCAAGCTTTTGTGAGTAGATCGACTTAATTGAATGTTACCAACTTTTATTGTTAAAACTTGTTAAATGGCACTTAGCAAAAACCCCACCTATGTCTCTTCTTGTAACTTGCTGGGCTGGAAAATAAATGCAGGAAGAGAACCCCAATTTGTGGTTAATTTCCCAATGCTTCACTCTTGAGGGTTCGGGAGATTAACCACTTTTTAAGGCTTCTCACTGCTCAGAAGAGATGGGCTTTGAGTAATCTTTGGCAGTTCCGTCACCCAGGGGAAAAGGGGTAACAAATCTGTGGGAGGCAAAGCAACAAAAGGTAGTACTTTCATTCTCTTAGGCTACAAAATCAAAGCCTGGCGTTTCTTTCAAATTCTTTCTTAACCATCAGTAAAGCATGAAAGTCAATTATGTAGAGCAGTGCTTTCCAACCCTTTCCTCCTCAGCCCCACAAAGAAAAACATTTATAAGGCAACCAGCTGGGAGGCTCCAGCCACTTTAACCTATTCATGGCACACGGGTTGGGAAGCTCTAATTTAGACTACTAGAAAGATAACCTAAAAAATAAACTCTACCTTTGTCAACATCATAAGAAAGAGCAAGTTATAGGTAACCATCATAGGAAATAGTAATTTCTGATGACTCTGAGGAAGTGAGTGAATGAATGAATAGGTACTGACCCAATTACACAAAACGATACCTTCTTCAAGTCCTGGGCTGCCTGTTCTTTATTTTTGCCCCCTTTCTTATATAAAAAAGGGTTTCTTATAACCCTTTGGGAAGCATAATAAAACTTACTTTTAGTACAAGTAATTGTAAATCAAAAGCTGGAAAAGTCTTCTATGAAAGTGCTTCTCTGATCATTGAAAAAAGCTATCTTTTTTCTTCACTATTTTTGCCAGCATGCTGACTTACAAACACTTTAAAAATATTATCTAGTATTTCTTTATTAGCCACAGAAGTGGCCATATGCACCTCTTCTTACTATTTATCAATTTTTTCTTAAAGGGCACAAATTTATTCATGGGGTATGGGGAGAAGAACCTCACTTATAAGAATTCACCTAAGGACTCTAAGATGTGACCAATAGGCAAAATGGGTACAGAACAGTTTTTGGCAACTATCTTTTATAAATAACTATTACATAGGAACAACTATTAAAATGTACTGTTTCTTCTCTGAGAACGCTTTTAAAAGAAAGCTACTATTAATTTGGCAAACACCTTGTAGACTTACAGACTCAGTACTCAGAGTACTTCTTAAAAAAAAAAAAAATCAAGAAACTTGAACCCAGAAAAATGGATTAAAATAAAACCAAAGAAAAAAACCAACAACCCTATAAAAATGGACATTAATGACCCCCAAATACAGTGATAATAAAAAAGAATGTATGTATACTTCCAATTCTATTATTAGACTCTTCAAAAGAAGTCTTGGTCAGAAGTGTATTACCCAGCAGAGGAAGTCAATTAATCTGTTTATTTCAATGTCACTGTCTCATTTGTCTTGAGATTCCACAAGGCTGCTAGTTTCAATTTATAGCTTAGTTATTGCCTCTGCCTTTAATCATACAAGTCCAGTAAGCTAGAATGCTTTACTATAGCTAATCACTCTAAGAAATATGGCAAACCTCCAACTAAAAGCAATTTTTCCTTTATGTTTACACTGAGATATGTTTATTATCCCTGTTTCACAAATAACAGTTTCCTCATGGAGAAATGCTTAGATGAAACAACATGTGTTCCGATTCCTGGTCAGTACTTCTAGAAGAGCCTATTTAGTTTATCAAGATTCTACACCCAGGACTAGGTTAAATGTTCTTTTTTTTAAAGCCCTGTCAGAGAAAATGAGCTCTTTCTGAATCCCAGGTTTATTCTTGCTAGCTTTATGTTAAAGCTACATTCTGAACAATCACCTAATCCATCAATCAGAGGTATCTCTGACCAGCCTCACTCCTATTTATGTAGATTTGGTCCCTTATTTAATTATTCTAAAGCAAAATGTCCGTGTCTATTAATATATCTAATATGCTGCTTCACTGATTTTTTTCCCCTCTATTTCACAACTAGGTTATCCTTTTTCTTTTTCTTATGCTTTTTCTAGCAAGGTTTTTTTCTCCAAGCTTGACTCCACATCTGACTTCTTTCTTCTTCTTTCCTATTTCATTATTTTAAAAAGTGTTAGATATTCAACATATTACTCAGTTTCAAAAATCTCGTTTCCTCTCTAACATTCCCCAGTCATCATTAGCTCAGACTAGAAGCATTATACTCTAGGCAGTTCACCATAGGCCCCCCCTTCTTAGATGTTTCCACGTTATAAAAGCATTAGTAGGTGCCAGACATCATTTTATCCAAGGCAAGAACCACCTTTAAATATTTAAACTTTTTAAAGGTGACATGTTAAACTTATTATATTGACGTCTGACATCATCTGGAGTCACCTACAATACTAAAAGCACATTCTGATTAATTGAGATACATTGTACAGTGTGTGTGTAACCCAGAGGAGAATCATAACTTCACAAAACACTAGAGTTAGAAGGCTTTCAAGATGATTTAGGATAGCTCTCCTCAAACTGAGGAAGAAATTGGGGCACAGACAAGTTAAGCAACTTTCTAATGTACTGAAATGATTCAGGTGTAAAATATATCAAGAAACCAAGACCCCAAACTAACAATAGGTTGCATTCAAAATGTTCATGTACAAAAGAATTATTTGAAATTTAAAACACATTTCTAATAGAAATAACATAGATGCTAAATGGGCTCATAAACCGGATCACAATATATATTTAAAGGGAATTCTAATCATTTTCAAGAGTCTTAGAAATTTTGGGCACTTTATTGTCATTCTGCTTCTAAGTATATGTTCTTTTCCTTGATGCAGAAATGACACTAACATTACTCAGCTTTTCAGATATAATGTTATCATTTTCAAGAGTCTTAGAAATTTTGGGCACTTTATTGTCATTCTGCTTCTAAGTGTATGTTCTTTTCCTTGATGCAGAAATGACACTAACATTACTCAGCTTTTCAGATATAATGTTTGGGTTTTTTTCCAGATATAATTAGTTGTTTTTGGCTCACAAATGAAAAAAAGAAGAAAGAGACTTCCACATTAATTAAAAGAGAGAAAATAACTAATATCAAAGGTTAGACTGAGATTGGCTATAATCTAAAAGACGGTGAATAACAAATGCTGGCGAGGTTGTGGAGAGAAGGGAACACTACTGCACTGCTGGTGGGACTGTAAATTAGTACAACCACTTTGAAACACAATTTGGAGGTTTCTCAAACAACTACAGATAGATCTTCCATATGAACCAGCAATCCCTCTTCTGGGTATATATCCAGAGGAATGGAAATCATCATTTCAAAGAAATACCTGCACTCCCATGTTCATCGCAGCTCTGTTTACAATAGGCAAGATATGAAACCAACCTAAATGTCCATCAATAGATAATTGGATAAGGAAACTGTGGTATATATACATTATGGAATACTACTCTGCCATAAAAAAGAATAAAATACTCCCATGTGCACCAACATGGATGAAACTGGAGAAACTTATGTTGAGTGAAACAAGAAAAGCACAGAGGGATAAATACCGCATGTGCTCACCCATATGTGGGAGCTAAGAGAGAAAGGAAGGCAGGAAAGAAAGACCACAGTAGTGCCGTGATCCAACAGAGGGAGGGAACATTCCTAGGCTACAAATTGGAGTTGAGGGGAGAGGGGTAAGGGGAGGGAGGTTGGGGAATAATTGGGAGGAGACAAAGGGTACAAAAGTAATTTCTGGTAATGGATATGTCCCTGGTATGAATCTGGCCCCCACATCATGGACAGGGGTGGGGACAATCAGCTTTGTATTTCACGAATATTCATAATTAATTAATTAATTAATAAGGATTAAAAAAAACAAAAAAAAAAGGTTAAACTGAAATTTTAAAATATATACATGTAAGAAATCACTCATCTGGGTAGAAGATAACAGTGTTAAAATTTAGGCTGGCCACTACGTAAACTTATGAGCCTAGAATAGAATAAATGGATTAATATGGTGAATGAAGAGAAAGAGCCTGAGAACACAGGAGTCTAGGGCAGGGTCAGCAAAATTTTTCTGTAAGGTGCCAGGTACAGTCTTCTGCAGTTACTCAGCTCTGTCATTGTAGTGTGAAAGTAGCCACACACAATGACCTTGGCTATGTTCTATTAAAACTTTATGAATAAAATTTAAATTTCACATAATTTTTGTATGTCACAAAGTATTTATTATTCTTTTGACTTTTTAAAAAAATCACTTAAAAATATAAAAACCGTTCTGAGCTCACAGGCCATACAAAAACAGGTGGTGGTCCTGAATTTGACCCACAGACTATAATTTGCTAATCTCTGGTCTAGGGAATAGTGGGGAGAAAGGGAGGCAGGTTGTAACTAGTTTAATAACTACGAGGATTATTCATGAATGTCCCTGCATAAACCCAAATGGAAAAGCAGCTCCCCTCACTCAACATGTGTACATTAATGTCAGTCTCAGTTCAAAGGAAACAGTCATATTTCACTGTCTTCAACAGAAAAACAGCTCCAGAAACATAATCACAGATTCATGGGCAAAAATAACCCTCATATATGACAGCACACTAATCGTAATTTTAAACAGACAATTCATTTTGTAGAAAACATTTCAAAATTATAGCAATAGATACATTATTCATTACCATTTTGTCCCTGAGTCGCTCTCCACGGATAAAAAAGTCAGCACAGCCATTCTCTTCCTGATGAGGGACTTTGAAGACAGTGACGCTGCTTAGTCCACTCCCTCCTAGTGGTAACCATCCACCACTTGAATCATCTCGGGTCATCACCACAGCTCGCACTCGTGCATAACTATTACTAAAATAGATGCAAAGAGCAGAAATTAGCTTTTCCATAAACAAAAAACAGCCAAGATGTCAGTCTTGTTTGAGAAACCAAAGACCACATTAGATAATATGTGGTGACTAAAGTGTTTACTACTTCCACGACAATCCACAAAAAGTAACCTACTTGAATGAGGTCAAAAACTACAAACTAATTTTAAAGGCTATCCTTTATTTTGAAGACTAAACTCTTAATAAAAGACTACAGAACTTTTATTTCCATTCATTTCAGTAGTTCAAGTACATCTGAATGCCATGAAACAAGTTGTGAAGGACTCAAAGACAAATACTGTCAAACTACATAGGCCACCATCAAACTTATCTATATATGATCATTTGCTGCATTATTATTACTAGGACAAATTATTGCTGTATTTTAGCATATGCAATGTGGCATCTCTAAGTTCCTAACAGTTCTGGAATATATTATGAATAAAATGCTGAGACAAACATGCTTAGGTTAGATGCCACATTTTTATTTCTTCTACCAATCTCCTACACAAATCAAGCGAATTGGTCTGTATAAACCTTTCATACGTTCATTTGGGCAGACTCTTCTTATAAGACACTACATTCTAATTCCATTTCAGAATCATTTTCCCAATATTAATTATTCTTTACATAAAATCTAGAAAACGTGTTTAGTGTACCAAAAGTTCTACACAACTGGTATCTAGGCATTTAAGTTCTAAAACTTTCAATAGGATAATTATTAATGAAATCTTTTTTTTTTTTCCTTTTTGTCTTTTTTACTGACTGGTAACGGGATCGCAACCCTTGGTGTCACGCCTGTACCGGGGACCGGCAACGGGATCGCAACCCTCGGTGTTGCGCACGCACCGTGCTCAGCCAGTGAGCAGGAACTGGTCTCCACATGGGATCCGAACCCTCGGCGGGAGCGCCGCCACGCTCCCAAGCGGCGCACTCTCCAGTGCGCCACCAGGCCGGCCCTTTTAATGAGATCTTTTTAAAAGTAGTATATCTTGGTGACTTCTTAGAAAATTATACTGAATATAAATTAAACTTGTCCTGATTATTACGAATATCAGTTGACATTGTATGTAATAGTCTCTGCATGTTCTATGTTGTCAGTTGTCATTTCTGTTGGCATTGTGCTTGTTTGAAAGCTCCCCCTTGCTTTTTTAAAACTTTATACACTTATTTATTTTATTGAGGTGTACTTTACATACAGTAACATGCACCAATTTTAAATATATAGAATTCAACAAATTCTGACAAGTGTATACACCTGTTTCTATGGTAAATGTTTGTGTGCCCCCAAAATTAATATGTTGAGATCCTAACCCTCAAAGTGATGGTATTAGGAGGTGCGGTCTTTGGGAAATGATTAGGTCATAAGGGCAAAACCTTCATGATTGCACCCTTACAAAAGAGATCCCAGAAAGCTAGCTCATCCTTTCCACCATATAAAAAACACAGTAAGAAGGGGCCATCTACGAACTGGAAAGCAGGCCCTCACCAGACAACAAATCTGCTGGCATCTTGATCTTGGACTTCCCAGCCTCCAGAACTTTGAGAAATAAATTCCTATTGTTTATAAGCTATCCAGTTTATGGTATTTTGTTATAGCAGCCCAAACGACTAAGATACATATATAACCAACATGATAATCAAGTTACAGAACATTTTCATCACTCCAAAAATTCCCTTATCTCCTTCCTATCAAATAAGTAACCACTGTTCTGATTTCTAACATAGACATTAGTTTTGCCTGTTTTGGGCCTTCGTATAAATGGAATCAAACAGAACTACCACTTATACCATTTTTTTCTGACTTCTTTTACTACATTGTTTTGTGTATCAGTTAGTAATCCTCTAATTGAACAAATATATCCCAATTTATTATTTCTTATGTTGACAGCATTTGTATTGTCCTTAGTTGTTGGCTACAAATAAAACCATTATAAACATTCTTGTACAAGTCTTTTTGTAGACATGTTTTCATTTTTCTTAGGCAACTACCTAGAAGTGAAATTAATGAGCCACAGGATAGGTGCATGTTTAACTTTGTAAGAAACTAACAAACTGTTTTCCAAAGTTGTGCCATTATACATTCCTATCAATAATGTATGATAATTTCAGATGCTCCATATCCCTGCCAATATTTGGTGTTTTCAGTATTTTTAATTTTACTCTTCTTAATGAGCATATTAGTGGTATACATGGTGGTTTTAATTTCCATTTCCCTGATTACTCATGACGTTGAGCATCTTTTCATGTGCTTACTGGTCAACTGCTTATCTTCTTTTTAAGGTTTTGGGTCATTTTTTATTATGTTGTCTTTTTATTATTGATTTTTAGAAGTTATTTATAAATTCTAGACACAAGTCTTTTGTCAGAGAACAGTATGCTGTTAAATCTGCATTGTGTTGTGGTTATGAGTGAGGATTCTAGAGTCAAACTTCCATAAGCTAGATCTCGGCTCAGCAACTTATTAGCTGTGTGACCTTGGGAAAGTTACTAAACCTCTGTGCCTCATCTCATCTGTAAACCTCAGTCTCTTCTGTAAAATAACAGCACCCACCCTAAATAAATGTAAATAGTGACTGACACATAATAAACACTATATAATATATAATAAATATAAAATATGTAATAATAATTATGAATACAAAGCATTTTAATTTGAATGAGTTGCCATCCTGGTAATTAAAGCCAGGCACGACTGGGGAAATAATAAAATTTACATGGGTAACCATAATTTTCTATTACTGGGGTAAAAATAATTCTTTATATAGAAGCTCTGAAAGGTTTCAGCTTTACAGGTGACTATTCTGTCTGAGCTTTTTATTATACAGTTATTCGGAGGCTCTAATTCTTATCTAGGCCCAATTCTTGCCAATCTTCAATGCAGAGAACTGGTCAGAGGAGGTATGGGTGCATAAAGGCTGGTTGGTGTAGATATCAAATTGGAATCCTCCCTTCTGGGATAGGCCAGAGCACAAATACCCCTGCTATAAATAAAGATGGCATGCATCTTAAGAAGCTCTGAGAGAATACAACATAATAACCACTTTCTCAGGCTAGCTTCCATTTTAAGGCAAATGAAGAAGCTCTTACAAGATGCTGCTTTTTTGTTGTTTTTTTAATTCATAATCTAAATTGTACCACAATTTCTAATCTTTGATCTTATTTATTTAAACAGTTATTTCCAATATATCCTTTCATAGACAATAGGGGGATTAAATTACTGTCATAGTCCGTTTTGTGATGCAATAACACAATAACAGAGTGGGTAATTTATGAAGAACAGAAACTCAACTCTCACAGTTCTGGAGGCTGGGAAATCCAAAACCAAGGTTCAGGTAGGTTTACTGTCTGGTGAGGGTCTAGTCTCTGCTTACAAGATGGCACCTTGAAAGCTGTGACCTCCAGAGGAGCAGAATGCTGTCCTCACATGATAGAAATCAGAAAGGCAAAAAAGGGATAAACTCCCTCCACCAAGCCCTTTGATAAGGGCCTTAATCCATACATGAGGACAAAGCTCTCATGACCTAAACGTCTCACAAAAGGTCACAGCTCCCAATACTGCTGCACTGGGGATTAAGTTTCAACATGAATCTGAAAGGACAAAAACGCTGAAGCCATTAGCAACTACTAATGTAGAAGTCCAGGTGGATTGGACTAGGTTGATAATGAACACAAAGAGGAATGAACTGATTCGGGTAGCTGGGGAGGTACAGACAAGAGGACTTGCTGGAGAGATTACAGTGAAAAAGCAAGTGTTCCAAATTATCTAAATTTCTTAATAGTAACCATCAGCTGCATTTTAAATTTAACTGTATTTCAATAAAGTTAGAGGCAAAAGAAGATGACCAAACACAAAGATAAATTAAAATTCTATCTATCCCCTATCCTCCTTACTGCTATCAGATCTGTTAAGCATAATATCTATTCTATTCAACTAAATAAATGGAAAAAAAAAGTTACTAAGCACTGTGGCAATATCAGCTCCTATGGAATTCTAACTGATCTTATATCGGTTTCATTTTCATTTTCTCAAGATTACGTAACATATTTTTGTCCCCTTGGAAGTGTAATAATTGTACGGTTTACTTGAGTGAGGATGTTTTAACTCCATTTAATTAGCACTCAAGTAACTAATTTGCAAGGAAATGTTATCTTGGTGAATCTACAAATCATAGGACCTAAAAACTGCAAAGCAACTTCACCCTTCAGACCAAAACTTTGTAATCTCAGCTTTCTGAACCTCTTGGAAGGGATCTGTAAATCACAAAAACTGTATTCAAATGTGAGTTTTTTGCCATACATGTATTTTCTTCAGGGGAGGTACTACATAGCTTTAATAACAATGTCAATAGCATCAAATCTGTCCTGCCAACTTAAGAACCAAACAAAACAAACAAAATGACCTGTACAGTTCTGGCTGTTGCTCAGATCCATTTCCTAAATTTGGATACATTTGTAATTGCGTGATGGTCGTTTATAACATTTTGGCTGACTGTTCTTAGGCTTAACAGTTCCGAAATAAATTCCTTCCTTTGTCTTTCTCTCCTCACTATACCTCTCTTCTTTCTATTATTATATCCAACTAACACCTCTATTTTAGCCCAGTGAAACCCATTTGAATTTCTGACCTCCACACTACAATATAAAAAGTTTCTACTGTTTTAAGCCATTAAGTTTGTGGTCAGCAGCAAGAAGCAACTAATACAAATAATGAGGGAAAACCTTCCTGAGGTTTGAAAGCAATCTACACATAGGAAACAAAGATAACCATTTTCCATTTCTAAGTACAATAGTACCAAAACAAAATGCCACCCCACACCCCCCACCGAATTGAGAAGATTCTTAGAATCTCAAGATTTGTTCAGTATAACATGAATTTATGTTATTTTTTTCCATTGAGGAATGTTTACAGTGACAAAATATCCTTTGCCCTATACAAAATATTTTAAGTAAACATTTACTATCCAAATATTAAACATTATT